AGTTAGTAGATGAACACTCCACAGGAATATAAATTCCTTCCCATTATATGTATATAGATTTCCTTTCCCCAGTTTCAGCTACTGAAAAAAGAACATATATATGATAAATTTATTCTTCTCTGAAGGAGCATGTATGGAATTCCCCTCTTCTTTAGCTTTGTGGTTTAGGTATCTGTCTGCAGAGCCAATGGTTGGGAGTTTGATTCTCCACTGTGTCTCCTGGGAGAAGAGTCAGGCTGTGTAGTCATAGGCAAGCTGCACAGTCCCAGTATGCCCCCAGAAGAAGGGAATGGTAAAAGACTTCTGTGTATTCTGTACCTCAAAAACACTGGAGAGGGTTACCACAAGTCAAAATCCACTTGATAGCATACAGTTATTAAAAAAACATACACAGTACAACAGCACAATCTCTTTTACTTTCATTGCTTTTTATATTCGCTTTGTTTGTCTCAGCTTAACTAGTATAAACAAGGAATAGGATTTCTAAAGTCGTGTGGTTTACCAATTTAAATGCATTAAATGGAATCTCACCAATTCCAACTTCCTACACTGTAATGTGACAGTTTCACCATCAATATGGGTTCTCTCAGTTTTTTATATCTGACTTTTCTTGTTATTAGTTTTTTTTCTTCCACAAAGGAACTTTTCTGAAATGATAGTTCAGAAAGGTCCTCTTACTGCTTTTGCAGCTGCACTTTGTTCTCTTGGGAGAACACATAGCTACCAAACCACCTTCTCACCTAATTGTGTATGTCACTGCTCTCTATCCTCCTCATTGCTTTCTCATCATAATGGCACTGCTTTCCCTCCCTTATTGCTTTTTTTTTAAAAAAAAGAGAGAGAGAGAGAAGAGAGCAGATCATTATCTGCACAAAGGTGCTGCATCCATTTAGATTTTGCATTTGTATGGGGACAGACTCATCCATAAATCAACTGGTTAAGCACAGATGCAGATTGTGGGATGCTCCTGGAGATGGTGGCTGCAGAATATGTAAAGCATTGATGGCAGGGAAAGTGGTTGCTTTGTTCATATCTATTTGATGAAACAGAAAAGCCAATTGCCTTTGCAAGTTACAAAGATCCAAACAGAAGAAGAACAGCCCTATAAGGTTAACCCAGTTAGAGCCTCCAGGGTGAAATACTCAGCTGCAAAGGAAAGACTCCTCTGGACAAGAGGCATCCACAAGAGTGAAGCTCCTTTAAGGGAAAGCTAAAATTTGGGCTAATTCAGATAAGGTTCAAATAAATTGGTTAGGTCTGGGTCCTGTCCAAATCAAATCTGGATTTCTCCAAATTATTTCAAGCCATCTTAGCAATTTGAATACCCAAAGAAAGCCTGACAATATCTTCAAAATGTTGCAGAGTTGCACCATATAAAGAAAATTGCAAATTAGTTTGGAGTGGGGAGAGATGGAACCTGCTCATTCACTATCCTAATTTGCCATTTTAGACAAGAATTTTCCAGAGGATTATCTCTCTCAAATTCTAGTCTACAGTTTTCTGTTTTTTTCACATAAATATACAAAATTGGGCAACACTGTAGCCCCTTGTGAGTTTGTGAATGCTGACAGGTTTTATACAGATAGGTGCAAGGTGTTTAATGTTATCTACTTTTAAAATTTGCTTTAATATACAAAATATCCTATATGTGTGTGCTACTTCCTTGCACTATAGTAATGGTAATGGGTGGTGCTTGTATAGGACTACTCTACAAAAACTAAAGAACCATTAAGAAATATAGTTTGAAACACAAAAATTAAACATAACCTTAAAAAACTAGGACTAAAATGTATAGCAGAGTACATTAAGGGTATAAGGGAACCACCACTAAGTTTCTGAAAGAACAGTGAGAAGAAAATAGAGACTAATTTAAATAAGTAAAAGAATAAGAAGCTGTATGAAAGAACTGTATCAAACACTTCAATGACATCACATTATTGCTCCTTGGAAGTAGCATAAAGGCTGCAAAATAAGTCACTGAAATACAGCATTATTAACCCTAGCTGTGATGGAGCACCTACTGTAGATTATTCTGTGGCATGAATCATTGTGAAATTCTATTTACTCTTAGGGACGTTTAATGGTAAATTAATTAAAATATGATCCCATGTCCACAGGGTCATAGAGGAGCAGCTGGTAAAATCTTTGAGTTATTCATAGTAGCCTTTGCATTTGACTGGCTGCACCACATGTAGAGTCTCTAGATCACATCATGCAGAATCTGTGGGTTAAAAGGATGCAGAGTTTTTACCCAGCTTTAGTAATCTGGAGGGTGTTCCTACCAATGTTGGGCTTCAAAATGAGGCTTCCCTACCTCCTCCTTGAAGTCCCTTCCTCTACCTAGAATCCAGCCTCCTTGGAAGGAAAGGGTGGCTAGGGAATGAATGTGCTTGTCAAATGAGATATATGGCAGATATTTTATCACAATCCAATAAATTAATATGGGCAAAGTTAGAATTTCAAGAAGTGCCACGTTGTTTTGAAAATATTCACTTTAAGTAAAGTATGACCCTTATGAAAAAGGAAAATAAATCCAGTTCTTAGAAATATGTTGGAAATTTGGAATGAATTTAAGAAAATATTTATTCTCTCAATCTCCCCATTATATCCAGTAATAGAACTACAGAAATTGGGACAGTGTGGGACAGTTCCCCAAACTGTCCCAAAGGACAGTTTGGGGAAAATAAATATTAAAGAAAAAGAAGTCAGTAGACTGAAAAAAATGGAATGGAGAAGATGAGGAATAACAAACAAAGTTAGTATTGCAAAAGTAAAAATTTTCTTGGTTTAATACGATTCAATTGGAGCAGTTTTAAAATGTGAAATTCTGTATGTTTATGCAGTTCCTGAAAAATTTCTGTATGTTTATGCACTTTCTGAAGATTTTCTGTATGTTTCTAAAGAGTTTTACACAATTCAATGACTGTAATTGACTGTTTCTGTTCAGTTTCCCTGAAGGCAGATGTTCCTGCCTCATGTTTGTTGACTTTTAAATGTTTTTCTATGTTATTTATAAAGTTAAAGTTTACTGTTTGAAATTTTTGAAATCACCATACAATTGCACTCATTTCACACGCTAGCAAGGTTTTGCTCAAAATTCTCCAAGGCAGGCTTCAACAGTACGTGGACCGAGAACTCCCAGAAGTGCAAGCTGGATTTCGAAGGGGCAGAGGAACTCAAGACCAAATTGCAAACATGCACTGGATTATGGAGAAAGCCAGAGAGTTCCAGAAAACATATACTTCTGCTTCATTGACTACGCAAAAGTCTTTGACTGTGTGGACCACAGCAAAATATGGCAAGTTCTTTTTTTTACTACCAATTTAACTGTGTTCCCCACCACCGTAGGGTGGTTCCCCACTTCCTCCATCTATATTCTTCCTCTTCTTTTATTGTTCTCTTCTTCAGAACTGCATTGATTCTTGATTTGGAACTTTCCCCTTTCCTCTTGTTGGTGGCCACTTTGTCTCTAAAGGAAAATAAAGTCTGAATTTTATTAGTTGTTTCCTCCTACTTTTGCCGGTCCTTTATCTGTAACAAATAATAAGGTGGATAAATAGAATTCAAAATAACATAGGGTCCTCTCCAGCATGGTCTCAACAAGGTTCCTTGGTACCTGAAACCAAATATGCTACTTGTGTTCCTATGGGAGACATAGTTTTCTCAGACATTACTTTTTTTTTCTTCTCTTTTACCTCGTTATCTTGATACATAGTTTTCTCAGACATTACTTTTTTTTTTCTTTTACCTCGTTATCTTGATTCCATTGTTCTTGAATTTCTTCCCGATATCTATTTCTTTCCTGCAATAGGTTAAACCAATAATCCTCTGGCATTTCATCATAATCATGGGGAAATCCCCAACACATTTATGTTCCAAACAATATATCATAAGGGGAGTATCCCCACATTCCAATTTGTGAACTCCTCATTGTTGCCAACACTACTGGTAATTTTTTTCCAACCAAATATTTACCATTTTCTTTCACTAATTTCCTTAACATCCCTTTTGTTATTTAGTTTGCTCTTTCCAATACCTTTTATATCCCTTAAGTCTTTTAAAAAGCCATATTGTGTTATTTTTGCAATTTCCCCCTACTTCTTTAAGGGTTTTTCCTCTCTTTACTAATTGATCCACTGTATTGTTTCCTCTTGCTAACTAGTCTCTCCCCACCCCATGGGCTTTTATCTAATAAAAGAGCACATCAACCTCACCAGTTTGTAGTATGTCAAATTTGTTTCCATTCAGCAGAATGCTTTAGAAGTTTGTTGTCTGCATTTTTCCAATCATCCTTAGCCCAAAACCAAAATACTGTACTGTTATTCCTTTATAGACATATTCACTGTCAGTGATAACATGATGCTGACTTGACCTGTTTTCCTCCTGCAAAGTCTTAAGGACTTGCAACACAGCCTGAACTTCCGCTTCTTGTGCACCAAAAGAGTTTGGTAGTTCTCCCCTTTCTTGTAAAAGCAAGTCTTCCTTTGCTTTCCTCTGTTAATGGTAAAACAAAGAAACAATTAGAGGGATCAATACCTGAATATCAGTCTGTATTGGGCCATGGTATCCACAATGTTATCTACCACAGGAGCCATGTAAGAATATAAGAAGAGGGGGCTGGACAAACATTACTCACTGTTTGTCTGTCTGTCTGTCTGTCTGTCTGTCTGCTGAGACCAAAAGGCTTTTGGAACTACAGTAATTACTTTCTTTGAAACTTGGACAATGCAAATAAAGAATTCTTCTCTCTCTTTGGTGAGTATGTATGTGGTGTGAATGTGCTGAATGCATGAAACCCCTTTATTTAGAATTGTAATCAATAGGTAAATCCACAAATAGCTCTTTCTGTTCAAAGGAATACTACAGTAGTTTTTAAAACAAACTTTACTCTAAACTGTGTTTAAAACAAACAGTTCAAATTTATCTGAAAAGAGCATTGATTACTATAATTGAAACACATTTATTGTACATTTCAGTAGTGGCTTTCTTTTGAAAGGAGTGAAGACCACTGCAATAAACGTATGTGAGGATCATTATTCTTTGAGACCAGCTTTGGCTCTGCAAGAAAAATCTTAACTGACTTCAGGCAGTCTTAACTCTTACATATACTTCTAGGCTGTGGTGATGTCCTGCTAGACCTACCACGTAATTTGAAAGTAAGTGTGCTGAATTCCCATTGGCCTTTTGCCTATGTTCAGTAGTATTCAGTCAGAAATGTGCAAAACAGTACCTGGAAGACCCAGAAAAAAAACTTGTCTTGAGCTAGGGCTATACCTCTACTATTATTTTGCAGTCTATGTTCCCGACCCCTCCGTCGTCAAGAGTAAGCCTAATGCCTAATCTCCCCGTCTTGCTTTTACAGAAAAAAGGCCCATGCTGCTCCGCGCCTTCTGTCCCTTTCCGCTGATTGGTCGAGGACCCAGAGCGCGAGCTGTTCGTTCAAAGTTGCGGAGAGCCGAGGCAGCTGAGTTTTTGGGCGTGCGCCTTAGTCTGGGATGACCGCACCTGCCTGTGGCGTTGGCGATGAGGGACCAGCTGTTAAAAAGCAGGCCCGGCGGCGTCCCTTCGTTCATCCCTTCGTCGTGGTGTGTGACGGCCTGACACGATATGGCTTCTGTGGGAGGGAGTGAGAAAGAGGAAAACATCCAGGTGGTCGTGCGTTGCAGGTAAGTCCTCATGGAAGGAGGGTAGAGAGAAATTAGTGAATCGCTCCACTTGAGGAAGAATCGGCGGGGGGGCGGGCGTAGAGTCGCCCTCCTGATCCCGTGTCTGTAGACATGGAAATAAACCCCCGTAAGCCACTGTGGGGCCATAATCCTGAGTAAAAGGGCCCTGGGTCGCAATCTTGGGTCGCCGGGGCTAAACCTTAGGTTGGATCCAGGCCGTCATAGTTTCGGGAGAGGCGGTTGAAAGAGGAATTGGGTAGGAGGCATCGTTGTTTGGACTCTTCCTTTCTGTAAACGACTTGGTTACAGAACAAAAGCGTCGTCTGGAAGAATCCCTTTGTCTGCTCCCGAGAAATGCCTGGCTTCAGTTCTGAAATGGACCAGGGCTAAAAGGCGCCACCTGAACCCGGGAACGTCCTGCTCAGAGCGTCCATCTGCAGCGAAGCCCGGCTGCCGCTGCTCTGCCTTTCTGCTCTTCTGGCCACTATTCCAGCCAAGGGGCAGGAAGAGGAGCCTCCTCACTCAGCTGCTGAAGGGCCAGAAAGAAGATCAGGAAGGGGGAGCAGCGGCAGCAGCCAGGTTTTGTTGCCGATCGATCGGCCCATTGCGCCGGGTAGGGTGCTGGCCCCGCCGACGCCCCCCCCCCAATAAGTGGACGGGTCAGTGCTGGGAGGTGAGCCTGGGGATCCAGGACAGTGGGCCAGGGATATTCGTAGTCGTTAATCTAAAAGGGCCGACTCTAGTTGCGACTTAATACTGGATTTCAGTCAATACGTACACAGTTCTGTTGTCAGTAATAACAAAAGGAAAATCTGAACTTGCTCGTTGGCACAGCAGACACTGTACTTGCAGTTTTATTGGTTTCCTGAGAATGATCGTAAATTGAACCCTATTTTCTGTTTAGGCTCAGTGTTATTGTTGGGGTTTGGTTCTTGGAGAATTTTAATGCTTTTTAAATTAAATCACGGCTGTCTTTTTACTTCTGTTTCACCCGTCCTCTGGCTTGCCTGCTAGCTTGCTTGCTGAGTGCCCCCTTTCACCTTCTCCCTCACACCTCCTCTCGAGCTTGTTTGTTGGGGCTCTTTCTCAGACCTCTGTTCTCATGCTCTTGCTGGTGAGTTTGGTGTTGTAAATATACTAGTTTACAACACCAGGCGTCGGGATGATTAAAGTTGAGATGGGGTGCTGGGAAAGCATTAACAAATGTTGGAATGGTTGTTGTAAATGTAAGGGTGGAGCTGTTGTAAGTTAGCAGTCCCCATAGCAGCAAGAAAGTGGAACCTTTTAAATTGCTTTAAAGGAAGGCAGCCCTGGTTCTCACTCTCAGGTGGTGATAGTACTAACAAGATGAAACACTTCCTGCTATAAACAACAGATAGCAGAGTTTTCCCCTCAAGAGATGATTGATTGGTAAGATGAATATGACATTAGTACTGCATGAGACTGCATTGATGATATTGTGCTGGCAGAGCAAATCAACATGGGATGGGAGATGTTTGGAGGGCAATGAAAGGTTAGAGAAACAGTTAAAAAAACCAGTTTTTCTTTGAAGAGTCAAAACAAACAGGTGGAACTAATAGAAAAAGGAGTCAATTTCAGGAATTTTCCCTTGCTTTGTGTCACTTTGTGAATGCTAGTAAGCACAAGAGAGTACCTTGTAGACCATCTCGGCTGCTACCATTGATGTTGTCAACATTCATTGGTGTTGGCTACCCTTGGCTATTTAAAACTTGGCATGCTTTTTCCTGCTGACAACATGGGCACAATATTGTGCAGCAATATCAGGCAATTTCCTGACGTTTTAAATTGTGGACACAAAAGCACAGTATCTCATGTTCATAAAACTGAGGTTTTTTTTTAATGAATTGAACGTACGTCAAACTTATTGTAAGCTAAATGAACATGCTAAATTGGATCTCAGTTGTTTGAGGTAGTAAAACTGTTAAACAACCTGCACATAGTTTAAATCCCAGATTTTACCTTTTAGACAGTGTAGTGTTAAGTGGTTGTATCTGGTTGATAAAGACAACAATAATAAAAATGTGCCATCAAGTCAGTTCTGAGTTATAGTGACCCTTTCTAGGGTTTCCTGGATATAGGAAAGTAGCTTACCATTCCCTTCTTCTGGGGGCTGTATGACTGTGCACTCCATCCAAGGGTACACAGGCTGACTGTTTGTCCTTAGAGGCACAAAGAGGAATTGAACTCTTGACTTACAGCTTCACAGCGAGGTACTCATCTCACTGAGCATACAAACCATATTTTCCACCACTGAGCCATAAGCCCTTCTGTAACACAGTGGTGACATATTCACAATGTTATAAAAGAGCTGTTTGAATATTATTGGCAATACAATATCTGCTTTATGAAGAGATCTGACATTGAGAAAAGTTGCTTGGTCTCATCTGTGGGAGACTAGTAACAACTGCATGTTTAGTGTGGGAAAGGCACTGTCCAGAAAATAATTCTCCATTTAATGTGTTGCAGCCAGTTTCTTCATGGATTGCTGCCTTGTCGTGGCGAAGGGGCTTGAGTAACTCAGAGAAGCTATGGGCTATGCCGTGCAGGGACACCCAAGATGGACAGGACATAGTGGAGAGTTCCGACTAAACGCAATCCACCTGGAGTAGGAAATGGCAAGCCACTCCAGTATCTTTGCCAAGAACGCCCCATGATCAGAAACAAAAGGCTAAAAGATATGACGCTGGAAGATGGGCCCCTCAGGTCGGAAGGCGTCCAACATGCTACTGAGGAAGAGTGGAGGACAAGTACAAGTAGCTCCAGAGCTAATGAAGTGGTTGGGCCAAAGCCGAAAGGACGCTCAGCTGTGGACGTGCCTGGAAGTGAAAGGAAAATCCAATGCTGCAAAGAAGAATACTGCATAGGAACCTGGAATGTAAGATCTATGAACGTTGGGAAGCTGGAGGTGGTCAAACAGGAGATGGCAAGAATAAACTTTGACATCCTGGGCATCAGTGAACTAAAATGGACAGGAATGGGCGAATTCAGCTCAGATGATTATCATATCTACTATTGTGGGCAAGAATCCCGTAGAAGGAATGGAGTAGCCCTCATAGTCAACAAAAGAGTGGGAAGAGCTGTAATGGGATACAATCTCAAAAATGATAGAATGATGTCAATACGAATCCAAGGCAGACCTTTCAACATCACAATAATCCAAGTTTATGCACCAACCAGCATTGCTGAGGAGACTGAAATTGAACAATTCTATGAAGATTTACAACACCTTCTAGAACTGACACCAAAGAAAGATGTTCTTCTCATTCTAGGGGACTGGAATGCTAAAGTAGGGAGCCAAGAGATAAAAGGAACAACAGGGAAGTTTGGCCTTGGAGTTCAGAACGAAGCAGGACAAAGGCTAATAGAGTTTTGTCAAGAGAATAAGCTGGTCATCACAAACACTCTTTTCCAACAACACAAGAGGCGACTCTATACATGGAAATCACCAGATGGGCAATATCGAAATCAGATTGATTATATTCTCTGCAGCCAAAGATGGAGAAGCTCTATACAGTCAGCAAAAACAAGACCTGGAGCTGACTGCGGTTCTGATCATCAGCTTCTCATAGCAAAATTCAAGCTTAGACTGAAGAGATTAGGAAAAACCACTGGGCCACTCAGGTATAATCTAAACCAAATCCCTTATGAATACACAGTGGAAGTAAAGAACAGATTTAAGGAACTAGATTTGGTGGACAGAGTGCCTGAAGAACTTTGGATAGAGGCTCGTAACATTGTCCAGGAGGCAGCAACGAAAACCATCCCAAAGAAAAGGAAATGCAAGAAAGCAAAGTGGCTGTCCAACGAGGCCTTAGAAATAGCAGAGAGGAGAAGGGAAGCAAAATGCAAGGGAGATAGGGAAAGTTACAGAAACTTGAATTCAGACTTCCAAAGAATAGCAAGGAGAGACAAGAGGGCCTTCTTAAATGAACAATGCAAAGAAATAGAGGAAGATAACAGAAAAGGAAAGACCAGAGATCTGTTCAGGAAAATTGGACATATTAGAGGAACATTTTGCGCAAAGATGAACATGATAAAAGACAAAAATGGGAGGGACCTAACAGAAGCAGAAGACGTCAAGACGAGGTGGCAAGAATACACAGAGGAATTATATCGGAAAGATTTGGATATCCCGGACAATGCAGACAATGTAGTTGCTGACCTTGAGCCAGACATCCTGGAGAGTGAAGTCAAGTGGGCCTTAGAAAGCCTGGCTAACAACAAGGCCAGTGGAGGTGATGGCATTCCAGTTGAACTATTTAAAATCTTGAAAGATGATGCTGTTAAGGTGCTACATTCAATATGCCAGCAAGTTTGGAAAACTCAACAGTGGCCAGAGGATTGGAAAAGATCAGTCTACATCCCAATCCCAAAGAAAGGCAGTGCCAAAGAATGCTCCAACTACCGTACAATTGCACTCATTTCGCACGCTAGCAAGGTTATGCTCAAAATCCTGCAAGGTAGGCTTCAGCAGTATGTGGACCGAGAACTCCCAGAAGTACAAGCTGGATTCCGAAGAGGCAGAGGAACTCGAGACCAAATTGCTAACTTGCGCTGGATTATGGAGAAAGCCAGAGAGTTCCAGAAAAATATCTACTTCTGCTTCATTGACTATGCGAAAGCCTTTGACTGTGTGGACCACAGCAAACTATGGCAAGTTCTTAAAGAAATGGGAGTGCCTGACCACTTTATCTGTCTCCTGAGAAACCTATATGTGGGACAGGAAGCAACAGTTAGAACTGGATATGGAACAACGGATTGGTTCAAAATTGGGAAAGGAGTACGGCAAGGCTGTATATTGTCCCCCAGCTTATTTAACTTATATGCAGAATACATCATGCGGAAGGCTGGACTGGAGGAATCCCAAGCCGGAATTAAGATTGCCGGAAGAAATATCGACAACCTCCGATATGCAGATGATACCACTCTGATGGGGGAAAGTGAGTAGGAACTAAAGAACCTTGTAATGAGGGTGAAAGAGGAGAGTGCAAAAAACGGTCTGAAACTCAACATCAAAAAAACTAAGATCATGGCCACTGGTCCCATCACCTCCTGGGAAATAGAAGGGGAAGATATGGAGGCAGTGACAGATTTTACTTTCTTGGGCTCCATGATCACTGCAGATGGAGACAGCAGCCCCGAAATTAAAAGACGCCTGCTTCTTGGGAGGCAAGCAATGACAAACCTTGACAGCATCTTAAAAAGCAGAGACATCACCTTGCCAACAAAAGTCCGAATAGTCAAAGCTATGGTTTTTCCTGTAGTGTTGTATGGAAGTGAGAGCTGGACCATAAAGAAAGCTGACCGCCGAAGAATTGATGCCTTTGAATTGTGGTGCTGGAGGAGACTCTTGAGAGTTCCCTGGACTGCAAAGAGAACAAACCTATCAATTCTAAAGGAAATCAACCCCGAGTGCTCATTGGAAGGACAGATCCTGAAGCTGAGGCTCCAGTACTTTGGCCATCTCATGAGAAGAGAAGACTCCTTGGAAAAGACTTTGATGTTGGGAAAGTGTGAAGGCAAGAGGAGAAGGGGACAACCGAGGATGAGATGGTTGGACAGTGTCATCGAAGCAACCAACATGAATTTGACACAACTCCGGGAGGCGGTAGAAGATAGGAGGGCCTGGCGTGCTCTGGTTCATGGGGTCACGAAGAGTCGGACATGACTAAACAACTGAACAAACATCCCAATCCCAAAGAAGGGCAGTGCCAAAGAATGCTCCAACTACCATATGTTTTTCTTCCTAACATGTTGCCAGTCTCTGTGGCATCTTCAGAGGAGTGGAGCTAGAATTATATCTGTGTTCTGGTGTGGTCTGGGATTGTTGAGTCCTTGTAGCTGTGGGATAAGGGTGTTTGTTGTTGTTGTTCTTTTCAGGAGATTGGTTGTTTCCTGTCATCAGAGTTTTTTTTGTTATGGGTATTTTGTTGTGATAAGGGGGAAGATGATCAGTCACTGTGATTGATGGGTGTCATTGGCTCATCTTTTGTGTGCAATGATCACTGGCCCTTACGGCTGGGTAGAGTTTGTTGACCTTTTGCAGGCTGTATTTTTCAGTGCTGGGAGCCAGGTTTTGTTGATCTCTGTCCTCTGAAGATGCCTCTGCCCTGTCCTCTGAAGATGCTGGCCACAGAGACTGGCTAAACGCTAGGAAGAAAAAACTCCAGAACACCGCCAAACACCCCAAAAAACCCACAACAACCATCAGATCCCATTGTGAAAGCCTTTAAGAAGACATTCAGCTTCTTTGTAGTTTTTTGTTTTTAATTTCATGCTCACTTTAAAATAGACTAATATTTATTACTACTGAAAGTGTAGGTCCCTTCTCACCAGGGTGGATTTGAATTGAATTTTAAAAATCAGGTTTTTTAATGATTTAAATTTAAATGGTGATTTAAATAAATTTGTTTAAAAAATCATTGATTTTATTCACCCTGCTTCTCACTCTTTTTAAAGGCCCTTCAGTATGTCTGAACACAAGGCTAATTCCTACCCTGTAGTGGAATGTGAACATGCAAGAAAAGAAGTTACAGTTTGCACTGGAGGGGTGACAGGTAAAAGATCAAGAAAAACTTACACATTCGACATGGTAAGTATTGCTATTAGGATTGATGTTAGATTTCTAGGATGTCTTTATCAAAGCTGCTTTATCAATTCTAATAGTTGAGAAGGAGGATTATTGCTCTGGTAGGTGATATCCTTTACTTATGGAAGGTTGCATCCTGCCATTTCCACATAAGGGGATCAGTCAGCAGGTGTTAAGAAAAGCATCTATCTGCCTAATGCTTTGGAGAGTTGCCTGTCTCAGTGGACAAATGACAGGTTTAGATGCAATGCAACACTATGGTTTAACATTAGGAAGGAGCCTTGGGCTTTCGAACTCTTGTTACAGAGCTTGTGGGGAGAAGGAGACTTTCCCAGAAGGGGAGCCCATTCTTTATTCCTCTTAAGAAGAATTAGGCTAAATATCCCAGGGCCTCCTTGCTGGCTGAGCTAAATGGGGACGTTTTTAAACTTCCCACTTAATATCTCCCTTCAGCCCAAAAAATGAAAAATAGTTTGAAAAATAGAAAAATGAAAATAGTTTGGATTTGTTTTTCCAAAGTCAGAAGAAACAAAATTAGACTAAGTTCTTCCATGCTACTGAAGCTACAGAGTCCAGCATTCCATACCATAAAATCATAAGTATCATTTTAGTTAGTTCTATTTTAATTGTAAGCAATCAACAATTTTCTGAAACTGTTTGCTAAATTCTTAAGTATGTCTATTTGGAAAATACTTTCCTATAATCTGAAGTTAGGTCTAATCCACATGCTAGATTACTTATTTTATGAATCAGTTTTGAAATAGTACTTGCTGATCACTTTTCTGCCTATCACAGATCCCTAAGCAGTATGCAAGAAAATAGACAGGTACTTGGCATCAGCATTGCCCTTTTCTTCAAAGAGATTAAAAGGATCTATGAAAAGGGCACTGTCCTTCTGCATAAACAGCTGGAATTATCCAAATGTTTGTGCTATATGGTGGCTACAGCCACCAAAGCATGTCTTGCAATTTATTTCACCTGGCAGAGTCAGTCACAGACCTGCAAATGAGAGATCACAGTTTTCTAATGATTCAAGGGCAACTATGTAGCAAGTGTATCTGGGTTTTGTTTTTTTTTTAATCACTGCTCTAAAATGTATTAATGCTACCTTGCATCTAAAAATAGGTTTTTGGAGCTCAAGCAAAACAAATAGATGTGTACCGAAGTGTAGTGTGTCCCATCTTGGATGAAGTACTTATGGGCTATAACTGTACTGTGCTTGCGTGAGTATCATGTTTTTTCTTCTTCTTCTAACTCCAGAATTTGTTCTTGACATTAACATTCTAATTTCCTTTGCATAGTTATGGTCAAAGTGGTACAGGAAAGACATTTACTATGGAAGGGGAAAGATCACCTAATGAAGAATATACGTGGGAAGAGGTAAAATATATTTCATACATTCCTAAGTTAAATATGAACGTGGACTCTATGCTAATTTTACCCAACCAGAAACTCCCACCTGTTTTGCAGTATAGTTTCTAGTGATTATGTTAGCTGAAAATGATAAAACTTAATTGTCAGACATCTGAAGGGCATCAGGTTAGGGAATATCTTTTTGCAGTAATAGTTAATTTCTTATGTGTATTTCTTTTGAAGCAGGTCCATTCTGGTTTAATGCTGGGAAAATGTATGTGGAATTGTATCCTAAATCTCAGCCTAAATCTCCACCATACAATAATAAGCCGTGGGTTTTATTAGGGACCTTTCTGTTTTAAGGATGCATGCTCAATCCATATTTGGCATTGCCAGCATGCTAAAAGTGACTTGCAAGACAGTAAGGAGAGCCAGTTAAAGCTATACCTTTCTTTTGCTCTTTTGTTAAAGGATTCACTCGCTGGTGTAATTCCCCGAACACTGCATCAGATATTTGAAAAGCTTGCAAAAAATGGTACAGAATTTTCTGTGAAAGTATCTTTGTTGGAAATCTATAATGAGGAGCTCTTTGATCTTTTGAATCCATCTTCAGATGTTGGGGAAAGGCTGCAAATGTTTGATGACCCCCGTAACAAGGTAAACATTTTTTGTGTGTGCTTGATTTATTCATATAAGTTGGGGGGGGGTTCTGAATAAAACATGTAATCTTGCATTTTGTTTTGATAGAGGGGTGTGATAATCAAGGGTTTGGAAGAAGTGACTGTACATAACAAAGATGAAGTTTATCAAATCTTAGAAAGGGGAGCAGCAAAAAGAACCACAGCAGCTACTATGTTGAATCAGTATTCCAGGTGAGAAATGTTTCTTTGTCTTTGTAAGAGATCTTTTCAAATTCTTTCTTGGAGTTCTCCAAACTGATGCCCTTCAAACGTTTTAGTTTATACTTCCATTCAGTTTTAGCTAGGAAGGCCAATAGCTAATTGTAAATGTTTGCCAGACATCAGGCTGGAGAAGGCGTTTGCATACGCACTGAGTATGAAGTTCCTCTAACAGTGAAATCTTGTAAATGTCTGCTTAGGAATAAGCTCCATGCGGTAATCTGTTGTTTACTTCCTTCTGTGGGTCTTGGTTCTCACTATCATAAAACATACAGACTTGTTCCTATGAGGCAAAGCAACAAGCTGCTTGTATTAAAAACTGTAGCACTGTGTCTGTCATTCATTTGAGGTGACAGGCAAAGTGGTCAACCAAAAGGCAAGACTGCAGAAGGACTACTTCCTCCTATTATCTTCAGTTTCAGTCAAAGATGACTAGAAAGCAGAGGAAGCCTTGTGTCACAAGCAGTTAAGGCCTTCTATGCTGCTCTCATGAAAATCGGGTATTGGACTGCAAGGTATTTTAGGCATAGCCAGGTAAGGGATTATGAGATTTGCAATCTAGCAACACCTAGAACCATTAACCAGGTTTGGTACTTTATAGAACTCTCCTGACTGCTTATACAGAAAGATGCGTTTGAGATAGAGAATCATTAGGGGCATCAGAGCCATCAACAAAGTTTACCTCCTACCATTCTACATGGAATAAGAGAAAGAAGGATGATCCTAACAGAGCACCCTGGGAGAGGAAAAGCTTCTGTCTTTTGTTGTAGTTGGAAGATGTGTGTGCATCTTAACGAGTGGAATGCTCTTCTGCCGTTAATGACTGCACATGATCATTGAGACAGGAAAAGGCAAAACCCATTGCCATTTGTTTTACTAGCATACAGGCCAGTTGAATGTCTTATCTCTAAAATCCTACCCTTTCATCACAGGTGGGAGGGGAAGACTGATCAAAGCAATCCCCCACCCTTCTATCTTTGCAAAGACAGTGAAGGAACATTGCTTAGTTTGGGCTTCCTCAAACTAAGTTTGGGCTTCCCCCACTCTGTTTGCAAAGACAGTGTAGCAAGGGAATTCCTTCACTCAGACTTCGCCTGTCTATGCCGGCAGGGGCATAGAAAGACAGGGGAAGCCTGAGTAAAGTGATATCCCCCTGTCTTTGTAAACAGGGAGGTGGGATTCCCTTTGAGCAGGCTTTAGCAAACCTCCCGAAGGGAAAACTCCTCTCTGCCTATGTGTAATGGGGTTATATTCATTGCTTCCTATGTGTCGGGGGTCTCTGGACCTCAAGAATAAGAACCAATGAATATCTGACGAATCAGCAATATTAGTTGAATATTGCAATTTTTTATATTTACCCCCATGTATACTCAGAAATATATGTTGTCAAAATTATTAGCTTATTACTCTGTGGTAAACTTTTCAACTACTTCTTAATAGGCAGAATTTAGCCCACAGTATTAGATTGTGTACCAAAAAATTGTCATTACCTACTTAGGTCTTTAAAACTGGTGGCAAAGAACTGAAAGAAGGGATGAACGTTCCCTCTAATTTTACAGAGCGCTGGGCACGAGCCCTGCATCTTACACTCGGGGTTCTGGACCAAACTGGAAGCAAATGGGCAGAAACACTGGCTCAGCTGCGCACCCCCAATGCAGTGCTGTGCAGCTTAGAGAATACCTTGGAAGGGATTCTACATGAAAAATACTTTTGCAGACAATTTAATTTCTGTGTGTTGACATAAGTGAACACTAGTCAGGTGTTGTGTGTGTGTGTGAGAAAAATGTTTCCAAACCCTTCTGCAACTTATCTTAATTTGTTAATTTAATTTCCAGTCGATCTCATTCAGTGTTTGCTGTCACATTACATATGAAAGAAACAACAGCAAATGGAGAAGAACTTGTTAAATTTGGGAAGTTAAACTTGGTGAGTATAAGTATGGTTTTAACTTGCAAGGCCCTAAATGGTTTGTGACCTTGATACCTGACAAAACGCCTATTCCCAACTGGAGCCATCTGTCCTACCCACATATCCCAGGCAGGAGGACGGGATACTAACCCAGAGAGAGGCCCGGAGAGAGAAAACAAGAAATTGGGCCTTTTCAGTGATCACTCCTCAGCTATGGAATCAGCTACCACCTACCATTTGCCTGGCCCTTTTACTTGGGCTTTTAAAGAAACAACTAAAAAATTCCAGCAGGTCTTTCAAACCATGTCATCTACAGAGCCCATTGAATGAAGCCAACAGCTGATAATGTGATTGACTACTGCCACGTTACATACATGTTTTGGGAATGTATTTTATACTTAGCTATTTTATAATGCAGTTTATATTATCTGAAATTGTTATATTTTATTTTACAATTGAGTTTTATTATGATTTTGTTTTGTGTCACTTTTCTGTTGTGAACTGTCCAGATGGCCGTAAGCCAGATGGGCAGTATATAAGTCAAACAAACTGAACAAGTAGGGCTTACACATAGAACTAACAAAAAGTGCTACCTCAGTCAGGACAATTGGGAGATTGTGTTGCAACAAGTAAACCAGAAGAACCTGGAGTGAATTTGAGGGAGAGGAAACTTGTGCTTCCTAGATATAAATAGCATTGGCAAGAATTTCTACCTCACCTTCAGGAATACTGCTTTTCTGACTGAAGTATCCTTGTTCTCGTGTATGGAAGGCAGGGTTTATGCACATGCTGCTCTAGTCCCTCTCCTCATTAACTCTCATTCTCTCATTTTCTGGCTTTCCACATGGTTGCTTCCATAGCTGAGGTTGTCCTGCCACTCTTCATCTAATTTCCATCTTGTCTTTTCTTCCCTTTACACTGTCTTGTAAACACTTCTTTTGTACAATATAGGGTTATTCTCATTTGTTTAACACGGGTCTCCACAACTATTTTGTGATATTTCTTTGTTAATTAACATAATAGGTAAATGTAACTCAAGGGGCAAAATAGAATGCACTCCATTTTTTTCTCTGTTCACATAACACATGTATTAATCATTTGCTTTTTTCATCATGAAAACTGGCACAAAATGAATGAGCTACTTCTGCCCCCTTATCTTCTCAGTGTTCCAAAACAACTGGCCATGTTTTGGTTTTGTAATACAGACTTAATTAACATAATAGGTAAATGTAACTCAAGGGGCAAAATAGAATGCACTCCATTTTTTTCTCTGTTCACATAACACATGTATTAATCATTTGCTTTTTTCATCATGAAAACTGGCACAAAATGAATGAGCTACTTCTGCCCCCTTATCTTCTCAGTGTTCCAAAACAACTGGCCATGTTTTGGTTTTGTAATACAGACAAACTTCACAGAGCACTTTCCAATTGTACTTTCACCTTTAATGCACCTCTCTGAGACATCTTTTAAAAGGCAGTTTTCATTTTTAGGGCAACACTTTTGCACCCCATAAATTCAAATTTTTGAATTCTTAAGAGAACCACTTGATGTAGGCAAGTTTTTCAATTGCAGGTTGATTTAGCAGGAAGTGAAAACATTGGTCGTTCTGGAGCAGTTGACAAAAGAGCTCGTGAAGCTGGAAATATCAACCAGTCTCTGCTGACTCTGGGAAGAGTAATTACTGCACTTGTTGAAAGAACCCCACATATTCCATACAGAGAATCTAAACTCACCAGAATCCTGCAGGACTCTCTTGGAGGACACACAAAAACATGTATAATTGCAACAGTATCTCCTGCATCTATCAATCTTGAGGTAATATTTGCCTCTGTCAACTATTTTACTGACCAAGAGAAATCTACCTTTAACATCATATTTATACTAACAAATGAAAACAGAAATACAGGAGAGATGCTGGAAGTAGGCTAAAAGTTTATTTATTGTAGGAGACAATAGATGGGATGTTTTTAAGATAGCAGTGTTTCATAGATTATATCAAGTGGTTGAGTATAAAGCAATATTTCCATAAATAGATTTAAATTTTTTTTAGCATTTAAAATTGTAGGAGACAATAAATGGGATGTTTTTAAGATAGCAGTGTTTCATAGATTATATCAAGTGGTTGAGTATAAAGCAATATTTCCATAAATAGATTTTAATTTTTTTAAGCATTTAAATAAATGCAAATATTTCTATGCCAGAGAACCTGGATCTAATTTTAGAATGCTTTCCTCCTCTACTGTTTCAGGGAGGACTGCTATATGCAGATTCAGTGAATATAACTGAAACACCTTTAGGTTTTTGCCATTAAAGTTCCTTCAGTTTGGTTGTAGTCCTAGATACTAGAAATAATAGGTTTAGTAAAATTGACTTAACACATTGCAAATCGACTTGAAAGGTGCCATTGTTTTATAATGAAAGTCAGGCTTCCCTTTCTGAAGTGAGGATTGGTGAGGATTTCTTTTCAAATGACAACTCTTGCATCACTGTATAGAAGTTCTAAATTATAAACCACTTGGTCAGCTGCCACTTCTGTCTTTTATATAACAGGAAACCCTCAGTACTCTTGAATATGCTCACAGAGCAAAGAACATCATGAATAAGCCTGAGGTCAACCAGAAGCTCTCAAAAAAAGCACTTATTAAGGTTCAGTATACTTCATTATATATTAATTCCTTTTGTCTATTGAATTGCATCCTATATATGTTTAAATTATTTGCAATCAGAAGTATTGGGTTGTGTGTGTCATCAGTGCCTGAGGATATACTCCTGTGCTTTTCTAATATTTGAACAGGAGTATACAGAAGAGATTGAACGCTTAAAACGAGATCTTGCTGCTGTGCGAGAGAAAAATGTGCCCTCAGTACTCTTGAATATGCTCACAGAGCAAAGAACATCATGAATAAGCCTGAGGTCAACCAGAAGCTCTCAAAAAAAGCACTTATTAAGGTTCAGTATACTTAATTATATATTAATTCCTTTTGTCTACTGAATTGCATCCTATATATGTTTAAATTATTTGCAATCAGAAGTATTGGGTTGTGTGTGTCATCAGTGACTGAGGATATACTCCTGTGCTTTTCTAATATTTGAACAGGAGTATACAGAAGAGATTGAACGCTTAAAACGAGATCTTGCTGCTGTGCGAGAGAAAAATGTGTACATTTCTTTGGAAAATTATGAGTGAGTATTGGCTTTCTGTAAAATATGGCTGCTTGGGAAGAATATGGCCTCTACACAGGTCTTTAAATCCAAAAACCCTAGCCATAATGACAGGTTTTTCTCGATTAGGCCAACCCCAAACACTACAGCTTTTCCTAATTGAGAATGGAGGACGGTTGGGTAATGTTGCCTGGAAGAGGCCCGAACACCTCCAAGCGGGTACTTTCTGCTTGGTTCCCTGGTTAGCTTTTCCTGTCAGAAAAGGACCTCAGGAGAGGGGCTAGTTAGATGATCTTGGTTGACAGCCACCACCAAAACCTTCAACCAGTGGTGTCCAATCTTCCCCACTTGCCCAAGCAGAAAAGAATAGGGAGTGGGGTTTTCAAGTTCGTTGCTGTGTTCCTGACCACTTGCTAGCACCATATTCACCACGCCAAGTGGCTCTGATGGGGCTCTTCAAATGTATTTAATAGTGAATTCAGGTAGAAAATGTCAAAAGGTTTGCTACCAAATGGTGAGAAAGAAGAAGCAAGTTTAAGCATAGTAACGAGAACCCCAAGAGTTGCAGAAATGCCATACATTTTTTAAGGTAGGTTAAACCTTTAAGAAAAAAATAAAATAAAAGAGTACTTTAGTACTAAGTATTTATGGAGTATGCTAAGTATTTATGGAGTATCAGTCGGAAAAGAAACAGCCAGGGGCAGGGAGTGGAATGTAGTGTGCTGGAGGAGAATGTGGCTAGAACTCTAAACAAGCACCATCAATGAGGAAATAAGGATACACTGGAACACATTGTGGCTGATCCCATTTGTGCCCTCTAAATTAAACTCAGGTGGGTCAGTCCTGGCAAGGTCATTGAGAAACAGGAGGGAAATATTAACATGTAGGGGTAGAATCTAAGGATTGTAGAAGGAAGAACAAGTATTGTTTTTTAAATAAAAATTGAAGTCCCCCACTAAAAATACAAACATCTACACCTCAGGCCAAGTAACACAGTCCAACTAATTATTCACTACTGGTGGTCTTTAAGCTCATTATTAATTGTAATTATAGCTCTAGGATAAAAACTATTTAGAAAACGTGTGGTCCGAGTCTTAATTGTTCTATATCTTCTGCCAGATGGTAACAGTTCAAAAAAGTTATAAGCAGGATGGGAAGAGTCTCTCAGGATGCTGTGTGACTTCCTCAGACAGCGGGATGTGAAGATGTCATCCAGGGTTGGTAGCTGGAGCCCGATGATATTCTGGGCAATTTTAATGGTTCTCTGTAGAGCTTTTTTGTCCGCTACAGAGCTACTCCCAAACCATGCCAGAATGCCATAGGTTAGGACACTCTCAATGGTGCTACGGTAGTAGGACAGAAGTAAATGCTGTGATAAATTTAACTTCCCGAGCATTCTCAGGAAATACAGCCTCTTCTGTGCCTTCTTTATTAGCATGTTGGCATTTATAGTCCATGAGAGGTCCTCTGAGATGTAAGTGCCCAGAAATTTAAAACTACCAACTCTCTCCACTTCCTCACCGTTTATGTACAGTGGTAAATGTACATTTCTCTTCCTCCTAAAATCAATTATGAGTTCTTTAGTTTTTTTGATGTTAAGTGTGAGATGATTTTCTTTACACCATAGTATCAATCTTTGTACTTCCTTTCTATAAGCAGACTCATTGTTCTTATTTATGAGTCCCACCACTGCCGTATCATCCGCAAATTTAATAATTGCATTGGTGTTATACAGTGGGGTGCAATCATGTGTGTACAGGGAATAGAGGAAGGGACTTAGCACGCAGCCCTGGGGAACTCCTGTACTTAGTACCAGGGTAGAAGAATGGTGGGATCCCATCCTTACTCACATGAAGATCCACAGAACATTGACTGGGACAAAAAAAAGGGAGTGAGGGAATGAATTGACTTCCCCGAGTCCTGTATATTTTGTGGTCTTGGAAGAGTGTATACCTGATACACTACAATGTTTTGTTGCAGTTTTGCTTAACATTCTATCTAGGCAAAACAAAGCTGTGTGGGATGTGTGGCATAACTTTTAAAAAAACAGTATAAATTTCTTGTTTATCTGTTAGACTTCATAGGATGTAAATTATAGACCACTTACTTTTCTACAAGTTCAATGACTCCAGTCTAAATGTTCTGCCTGTGTAGTTTACACTGATGTAGCAAGTGATATTTTTAAAAATATAGTACTATGAAAAGAGGACAGAAAACCTGTTTGTGAAATATGGGTGCATATGTCTTCCCTTGCTTTTCACAATCATCTGATTAGACTTCATAGGATGTAAATTATAGACCACTTACTTTTCTACAAGTTCAATGACTCCAGTCTAAATGTTCTGCCTGTGTAGTTTACACTGATGTAGCAAGTGATATTTTTAAAAATATAGTACTATGAAAAGAGGACAGAAAACCTGTTTGTGAAATATGGGTGCATATGTCTTCCCTTGCTTTTCACAATCATCTGATTTTGCAGCATGATACGAGTTGATTTGATTCACCATACCATATGCAATATTTTTAAAGCATTCTTCATGGCAAGCTGACAGCTCAGGAAGAACAAATTGCAGAGTATTCTGATAAAATTGCAGCAATGGAGGAAGAACTGAAAAGAGTGAGTGAATGACATTGTTCTTAGTTTTTTGTGTTGGAAAAAGTCTGGGAAGTGAAATGTATGTCATTCAAATTTATCAGCTGAAAGTGAGATGTAAGATAACTTGTTGAAATAACATTGACACACACACATATATTTGTTGCTGTTATGGTGGAAGTGAGTGCTCTTGAATGGTCTGTTTTACTTTGGAATTAACAGTTATCAGCTTCATTAGATATTACTAGGATCTCACAAGAGATTTTTCATGACTCACGAGGTTCTCACTCTTCTTCCTTCTTCGCTGCCACCAGATATTAATTCTTTAATATCAATTACTTATAGAGACAAGTCTGCTGTTCAAAACTTAAGTCTTTTATTTGATCAGGGAAATAAATGATGAATATTCATGAGATAAATCACAGGCTGTCAATCACTTGTATTTGAATCAAATCTGATATAACTTTAAAACTCTTTTAACACTCTGTTTCAATCTAAGCTCTTACAGACCTCTAACTCACTTTCCAGATACTTTTAAGTTACACACGGTCTCTCACTCTCCGAATCTCCCTCAGACGCCACACACCAGCCTTTATATCCAGCTCCCGCCCCCCTTGGCTCTGCCTTCTGTCCACTCATTGGATCCTTCTTCAATATTCTGTGGTGACGGACAGGTGAGGGCAGGGCTGTTCGCTACACACACACACAACACCTTAAAAAGTTGTTTCATGGGGTAAAACCTATAGTAGTTTACCCTCATGAACAACGAGGAGCTTTAATGTAGAGGTTATTTGCATCCTCTTGGATGGGAGAGAGGTTCCTAAAGACGCGACGAACTCAGAAGCAAACCCATGCGACACATATACATCAGCAGCGCGTCTGCAGTGGTCTGAGTCTCAATATTTCTCAGGGGAACTGCTTCGGGATAACGTGTTGCACAGTCAACGATATTCAGAATGAATCTGTTTCCCCTCAGGGTAACTGGGCAACGGTTGAACTATATCTAAACCAATGCGTTGGACTGGGTTCGAAATGACAGGTAAAGGACACAGCTTGGTGTCAGTTTTGTCATTGCATTCCCCTTGTCTCTGACCTCCTTAAGACCTCTGGTCAAATTCTTTTATCTGCTCCTCCATTTCAAGCCAGTAAAAGTTTTGAGCTACTCTTTGGTCACTATGTGTGATATCTATAAGAGCTGAAAAGGTACCAGTGTGCCCCTGCTCCTCTATCCCCACTTGATCTTTGAGAGGAACAATCAGTTGCTTGAGGTGAGTCTCCCCTCCCCGTCTGGGATTCACAAAGGCCTCCCTGTACAAACGGTCTTTTTCTAGGAAGAACTTTTCAGGACTCTCGGGGGTTAACTGACCTTCGCCAACTTTCTTAAAACATTGATCCAGCATGCAATCTGTTCTTTGTTCCCTTTTAAATGTGTTTTCTAGTGGAATCTTAATTGGTATTAATTCAGCTGTAGGATCCTCTCCCCTCACCAGCTCTGTTTGAATTTCACTCTTATCCTCTGCTTTGCCGCCTTCTTTCTGCTGGGAGCAAGTCTGCACTAAAACACTTTTGACATGCTCAGTGAGATCGATCCCAATTAAATAAGGCGCAGGCAATTGGTCAGCTATGCCTATTCTCCATAATCCTTTCCACCCTTGATATCTTATAGGTACCTCAGCCACTGGCATGGTAATTAGTTCAGCACCTATCCCTTTAACTGTCACCTTTCAATATGTACTCTGTGTCTGGATGGCACAAGGCAACTTGAAAGCAAGAGTCTTTCAGAGCCATACATTTTGTCCCATTTACGTAAATTATTATTATTATTATTATTATTATTATTATTATTATTATTATTATTATTA